CTAGAATTGCATGAACACAAGATAAAGCTTTGCTCTAAGAAAAGATTATATGGCCACAAAACATAGGTTTATTATCAGACTTTTAATTTAACATCATATTATTACATGTTTAGAATTTAAGGTCAAGTTTCAAGCAAAAAAGACATTTTTTTAATTTATGCAGATTTAATAAGATCTTCAGCTACAATGACAGTCTTAAAGTATGGACAAATAATTACCGCAACTTAATATGTTACTGTCCTCTACAGCTTAGCCACAGTAACTATTCCCAAAGGTTATGTTCTTCAGCAAGGTATACATCATTCTCAGAAGAGCAGTGGTCTAAGAATATGCATATCTAGTTACTACAGCTCAGACCATAAACAATTAAGCTGTGACAGCCCACCATCCTGAAGATGGATATTTTTTACATTTTGTTCTATTAGGCACAACAGTTGTTTTAGGACTCCTCCTCCTAATCTCATAACACACTTTTCACTAAAGATTGCTTGCCAGAACTTCACCTTTATTCTTGGCCTTAGTACAACAATACCATGAAAGGTATAGGCAGATACTTGTACATAACTGAATTACTGGTATTTTCAAAAATCTAGACTCTTTAATTAATATCTCAGCTGCATGATTTCAGAAATCTCTAGAGTTCTAAATACGGAAGTAAAATGTCAAAAAAAATTTCCAATCCTAGGTGTCTGCTAGAGCACCAACAATCATATATCGAAGCGTGCATGACTGTATATCCCCATAAAATAAGCATTTACTTATTTTAAACACTGTCTTGTGCAAATATTGTTACCCATTAGTTTTGTACATTTTCAATGGACATTTTAGTTACAAGTAGATACCAGAACTATCATTATTTTTTTCAGCTCTTCACAATTTTATTCAAATTGTAGGAGGAACAACAGCATGGCTAGAGTTCACATGGCAGCAAGCACATCTACAGAGAGGACATGAGGAAGCTAGAGAATAGGCTTAAGCCTATTTGATGCTGCTTAGTTTGTCTACAGAACAAACTGGGGAAAACAACTCAACTATTTTAAGGGAACATTTAAGGAGAAAATCATGATATGTTGTTTGAAATTGAACGGAACTTTGATCTTTTCTATAAATTACCATTAAAAAAGCATGCTATGTCATATTGTTACTTCCCCTTCCACAGTTCACCTCTGACTTAAGAGCAACCACTTTCTAGCAGCATATTTAGTTCTACCTATAGATGCAACAGCAGCAGCTATCACCTGCAGATCTACCAAGTATTTGGAACATTCTTGCATTTAACCACAAAGTTCTGTAAACTATAACGAGGAAGATGTTTTCACGCTTTAGCTTAAAAAATGCAAACAGTATTGGGATTCTGAAAGCCAAAATGAATAGGATACATACGGTCTCATAGAAATCCAGGATGAAGTACAGCAAGAAAGTAGCATTGTTTTCCAAACGCAGTGCAACAGTAGAGATCCATCCAACAAAGTGGATCAGTTCAGCCACCACGTTCACTAGTCCAGAAAGAGTGGTATTCCTGCAGCAATGACATGACACAACATTAGTATATACACCACTTTGCAAATGATAAAAATGAAAAGTGGTAAAAAACAAGTTAAAGTTCATCCTTCTGCCCCCCCAAGCATTCAGCAACATGCAGTTGTCCTTCAGTATACCCACTAACATGTTGTTACCAACTTTACTACAAACATGACCCAGCTGTCAGTGTTACAAGGCTTTTGACTTCTGGACATTTCAATTTTCAGTGTCAACAGAAACACTTTTAAAAAAAGAGAAAGAACAGGATTGACAAGGTAGCTTACAATATAGCAGAAACATTACAGCATTATTAACCTTCTAGTCAGTCTTTATGCTAGGTAATAGGGCTAGAATATATATCTAAATACACTAGTGAACAATGCACAGAACACTGTATTGCATTTATTCCAGATGAACTTACAAGGAATAGACTTCAGACTCAAACTCTGAATCCAAATGAATCATGTGCCAATTTAACCAGTTCTGCAACAGCTCTTTCAGAGTCTCAAGAACACTGCACTGCAAGGAGCAAAAAGAAAACAGGTTGATGACAATTTACATAAGTGAATAATAGTGAACAAAAAAATGCCATGAGAATTGACATATATAAGGAAAGATATCATGAGTTTCTCATGACTACAAAGAACAGTGAGATAATAGCATATCCCTTGAACTGAATGTATGCATCACAGCTTTTCCTGGAGAATGCGAGTTTCAGCTACTGAGTTAAAATTGCAATAAAACAAACCAACTACTCGCTTGCGTACTATCAGTTCTTTTTATTTCCAGTACCCCAGTTTAATTCCAGTGGAAACAGAAAATATCTTGAAGGCACTCAAATTCCCAAAGAAGTTACATTGTAAGCATATATTTTACTCTCATTTGGGCACAAGACCTCCCCAAAAGAAGTCCCCTACACAATGCCCCAGACCGCTACACCTGACACAAGTGCAGACAGCAATATCAACCAGAAGTAAATAGCCACTGTACTTATTTAAATTACCTTAAATTACCCTTACCTTAAAGTAAAGGGACGATGTGAAAAAGAGCTGTGCCAGGGGATCATAGAGATGTGACTTCATTTCTGAAACAAATGAGAAAGCAGCATGATATCTGCGCACACATTCTATCCCCCAAGATCAGACACTGTCCCACCTCACCCAAAGGATCTGCAACACATACCAGAGGAGCTGCTGAGGGGGATCCAACTCACAAGTTTGAGGATTTGTGATCGACAGCAGAAGCCATCCCAGAGAGGAAGGCTCTTATACAGGAACTCTTCACAGGAAGAAAATCCCTCCTACAAAGCAGAAGATGAACATTCAAAAACCATCTCATATGCCTGCACCTTGCCATGCTAACTTCACCCTGGAGAAAGAAAGAGGCTTAAACCTCCTTCCTGCCGTACAATTCACCAGGACATTCAAACTATCATTCTCAATATCAAACTATCTTTCCTGCAGAAAACCAGGCCATCTCTTCACTTCTTCCCTCGGAGGGTGACGGAGCACTGTAACAGGCTGCCCAGGGAGGTTGTGGAGTCTCCCTCTCTGGAGATATTCAAGACCCGCCTGGACAAGGTCCTGTGCAGCCTGCTGTAGGAGACCCTGCTTTGGCAGGGGGGTTGGACTGGGTGACCCACAGAGGTCCCTTCCAACCCTGACCATTCTGTGATTCTGTGATCTCCAGAATATCGACTCGCTACAGGAATATGTATTTCTTACCTGAGACACTACACTGTCGCTTCTCAGCAATACTAAGGAAATGCATAAGTCCCAAAAGCACTTTAAGGGAAGATTTCATGAAACCCTTGGCTTCAAAAAACAGACACTTACCTGCAAGAAACACTCTGTCTTGTAGACAGTTTCCAGGAAGTCCTTGAACTCCTCTTCATATTGGTTATTATCAGCCACACACCAGGTGCATTCTAAACAGAAGAGAATACTATATTTGAATATGAGCACGGCAAGAATAAGCACAATGAGAAACACAATTCAGCTCTCCTCCAGCAGTTGTTTTAACGTTGTGTGATTGTCACTACAAATCCAAATAGCAAAGTACCATTACTAAAAGGTGAAAAGCCTCAGACATCCTTTACCTCACTCCCATGCAAGGTAACACTAAGTTCCTACCTTCCTGAAGAGTCTGGCCCATCCAATAGTAGAGCCTCAGGTAAACAGATTCATCTTTGATGCAATTCATGTAGTGAAGCAATAAAGGGTTTGTTAGCACTGAACCCATCTGGGAAGGAAACTGCAAGAGAAATCAAGAAAAAAATTGTCATTCAGTATTTACATCAGCAAATTGCCAAAGACTCTCATTCTATCACAGCTGTCTAATTCTTTTTACCAGCAAAAAGACCATCTCCAGGACTCATCCATCACCCTCACGTAGGACTAGGTGCTTTGTCAGAACTGGGTAGCCCACACACTATTCACATATAGACAGGGCATGAAGGAATATCCTTTGATCTCTTAAAATATTCCATGAGCTTACCAATACCTTCCCAAAACTCACCTCTAGACAGTGGATATTTTGTAGGAGCTGAGGAAACGTCTGCAGCTGCTCCACTGGAAAAGACTCACTCGTACTGTACAAATCAACATGGTTCTTTTCCCTGTTCTCTTCTAAATTATTTTTGTTTGTACTGCTTGCAGGTATAATCAACTGGGTATTCCATTTCTGTAGAAAGGAAACACAAATGAACAGCAGTGACTGTTTCCAATGCAATTAAGTGCACTTGTACCAGTGTTCCCATAAGGACCCCGACTTGCAAAAAATGTATCCAGGCTTTCATTATAAGAGGAATGCTGCATTTCTACATAGCTAACTCCACCCTTCTCAGTGCTGACTTATTTGCCAACACTCATAATGAAAACAGCTGCTCGGCACCGCCGAGGGTCTACCTTAGGCTCGCAACCTACCCTTTTTCGTGACTGAGGTTGAGCTGTGCCTAAAAACAGTGGCTGGGACACTAGAGAGTTTTCCTGGTTTCTTCGCCTTACTGTGTTGATTGCTGCTTTCCATGGGCCCTCTGAACTCTTGAAGTAAGTCTGAAAACATAAATCAGACATCTATCCAAGAAGCTAAACTCAAACAAAGTGACAGAAAGGTCAGTTTCCAGTCTGATAAGCATCTGCACAATACTTTTTTTTTGTCACTTCCATTACAATCAGTCTTTAAATCCTAATCAAGTGCCAAACCAATCACAAAAGTATTCAGATTGGTTTGGGCCTAGGTAATCAAGACTTTATTACACAAGTTAAGACAGTGTGCTCATTAAAACAGTTGAAGATCTATTTGGGTTTTAATTGCTAGTTATTTACTTCACCTCTGCACATGCCAAAAAATGTAAATTCTCCAACAGATAACTGTGCAACACAATACAAAGTATACATTTATAGAGCAATGTCAGTACACAAGCAGACTGAAACAAAACATATCTTTTTATAGAAACACTACTTGTCTACATATAAATTAAACATATCATCTAAAAAAAACAAAAAATCAACAAGGCCTAAGTCTATTCCACTGAAGTACCAAAAGAAAATTTGTTGCAGAAGTTAGGTCTCACCTGCTGCTATTTCCTGTTATGCATTCAGTTTCTGCTACATACATTCTACTTGGACAAAGGGCTAAGCATACACATAGCCCTGTCTAAAAGCAGAGTCGTATTTTTGCTGTTACCTTGAGGCTCTGAGAAATCAGCTCACTGCATTTTTCCATGCTTGCTTTCTCTCTCCTATGATATAGACCTTCCAAGTGTGAAGTTACTTACTGACTTCCACTGTTCTTTGTACTTGAGCAAGTCAGTAATTTGGACAATGCCTTGTACCAATAAGACAGTTTGTTTCTTGAAGAGCTTAACATTGTGTGAAACAAGTCAAAACGAGTAAGAACAGCAAAAGTAGGATTAAAGTAACCCTCATAAGTATAAAGGTAGATGCCATAACAAATTATCTCATTGTCCTGAAGAGGAAACAGAACGCAAGGCAAGAAATCCCCATCTAAATCTGACTTCACTCAGTGAAAAGAGGAAATAGAATTAATCTTCGCCATCAAATCATGCTATAGCTTACACTGAAAGCTCGGTACAAATACTGTCGTAAACACTGGTTCCAAATAGATTAAATCTAATTCCTTACCTTCATTTTCCCAGGAAGGGTTATGGTCACCAGCTCAGGACAGAAGAGTTTGTAAAGTGATAGCAGAGCCTGCAGATGAGACTGCATTCCCTGTCAAATAACAGAATGAGTGGAAAAACATGTGGGGTATGTTTTCAATATAGAGACTGAATACTGTATTCTAGAAACACAAAAAAACCCCGGTGATTGCTAAAAGCTTTCTAAAGCCAGATGTTAGTAAGTAACCACAGATGAAAAACTGAAAAGCAAAGTAAGAACAGGAACTGTGTCAATGATATACCATAGGAAGGGGACTGAAGAAAGAACTTCCTGTAGTCATAACTCTAATAAAAAAGAATTTAACAATCAAAACTATGAAAAACAGTCTTCTGCTGTCTAAATGCTCCAAAAAACACGTTGTCATAGCTACAGGTTTTTTCTTACAAAAAAGGGAGCAAGATCCTCTACAATCTTACATTTCTCAGTCATTTTCGATATTACTTGAAAAAGGAAGATGAATAGAAAATTAAAGATGTTAACAGATAAATGAAGCTGTCCCTTGCTTCAGAGATTTTACCACACCTAGCCATAACATATAGCTTTATGCATGTCATTGCATGTGCTCATAAAACACAAATGAAAATTAAGGATGCACATGCAAGATAGACAAGCCCTGATGCTACAAAGACTACAACCTACAACTCCAAGTCTAACCCTGTCCTGAGACACTATCCACTCTTCTCCATCCTGTAATGACATTAGTCTTACGAACTGCATTATTAACCACAGTTCAAACTCTACAAGATTTGAAATAAACTCACCATTTTTGCTTGGAGGTCTAGCAGTCTCCTAATCCGAAACGGCTTGACTGAAAATACAATTAAGAACATAATGGATTTAAAAAACACTGTACCAGTCATTTAAGCAAAAATGCAACATCATTTTTATTACAGAAAGTCATGGCAAATCAGGCAGAACCAATCAGTCCTATTTCTAGGCTAACAGACAGGTTTCCAATTCAGAAAGTGTTACACAAATCAGGCTGAAACACCATCCATGTTTCCTTGCCTTAAAAGCAATATATTTGCCAGTCATTGTATTAGCTCCATGAGAAGAAAAGGTAGTGCCAGCAAACAGAATAAGAAACAAAATGGTATTCCATCTCATACAATTAGACAGACTCACCACTTTCTTTCCTGGTCAGCAGGTAGAGTAGGTGGCAGACATAGGGGCACTGCAAAGAAAGTTCAGCAATGAATTATCCTGCTGGTGCAGACTACTAACAAGGATACACTAAAATCAACATACAGGCTTCACAAGCTAATACTGTTTCATTCAGTTAGCTGCCTCAAGTCATCACTGCATGCCCATTGCAGCAGAGCATACCTTACTTCCCTTAAGAAGTAGCACGTTTTTTTAAGTCACATATGTCAATTTTCTTCAGAAATATTATCTGCATTATGACCAGTCCCTACAGTAATGAAGCGATTTGGTGAGCCTGGATCTTGTTTTTTGCAACACAGTCTAGATATTTCAGGAGTCAGCAGTGAAAGTACAATTACATTTTCAAAAAGTAAGGTACCTTCGAATGAAAATAATTTATTAGAGCTTCTAACTACCATTGAGACTGCAAGGGTCTTAAATTAGTTTCACTTCGACTCTGCTGCACTTTCCAATTGGCCCATCGTTCCTGAAAATGCTATTTTAAACAGTAAGAACTTAAACCCAGTTTTTTAAAAAGATTCTAACAAATGTTAACCTAAAACCATTAAAAGCTTTGCAAGAAATATAACTCGGAACTTTGTGAACTTTAAAAGTCTCAACCACAAAATACCCTAAACTGAAAGAATATTAAGAATTTCATCTCTAACATGACTGCCAAGATCATCTTAATATGAACTGAATTCAAACACTTCAGTATTTCAGCACCTGGATTTACTGTTGCCATATAGCAGAAATCTCCTGATAGCTTGTTCTCATTTCAGCTACACTTCAATTAAGTTGAACAGCATTTAGTTTCTCACCTTTAAATAAACATTGCTCTAAAAGTGTTTTTTTCTTTATGCCCAGGGTACGCAAATCAGTTTCTCGCCAGAACAGGAGACTTCACCTGCTGAAGTCTGACATCAGATGCAATCCCAGGGACTGCAGCATCATAGTTACTCTTCGGAGTTTAGACAGAATATACTATCACTCCGTGATGCAGAATAGCAATTCTTGGAAACACACTTAAACAACCAGACCACAGCACTGAAACTAAAATAATCATATAGTACTTCCTGGTTTCTGAATCTAAATTACGCAGCAATCTTTAAATGCAAAATGAATAAAATAAATTCTATCAGCTATCAGAAAAGGTTTCTAACCAACAGCTACTCCAGACTAATTCCAGCATTAATATGCATAGTACTAATGAACATTTAGGCTTATTTTGTCAATTCCATATATTCTTCAGCTCTCCTTACCATCTTCTCATCTTGCAGGAAGGAAAAGAAGAAACCATAGAGGGCATGAAGTTGTTCCTTGCGATCAATGAAGTCAAACACTGTGATCAGCCATCTTAAAAAAAGCAGCTGCAGGTATGAAAAAAGCCGATTATATTACATTAAGTGATGGGCAAAAGCAAGACAGACCAGTCACTAGCGAATTTAAGAGACACAAACATTAAGAATACATCCCACTGTCAAGGACAACCAGATAGCTACAAACTAACAGTACAGGGATAATTCAGCTGTGGAAGAAAGCCTGCCAAGAGCACCAACTGCCATTTTAGAATAGAAAAGCAGCTCAGTTCGGAATATGTGCTGCCCCCTCAGATACGATCTGTGGGCCCCTCACTACAAGAAAAAAAATGAGGTGCTGGAGCATGTCCAGAGCAGAGCAACGAAGCTGGTGAAGCACCTAGAGAACAAGACTTATAAGGAGTGGCTGAGGGAACAGAGGTTATTTAGTCTGGACAAAAGGAGGTTCAGGGGAGACCTTATCGCTCTCTACAACTACCTGGAAGGAGGTTGTAGCGAGGTGGGTGTCCATCTCTTTTTCCCAAGTAACAGAACAAGAGGAAACAGCCTCAAGTTGCACCAGGGGAGATTCAGATTGGATATTAGGAAGTTTTTCTTCATTGAAAGGGTTGTCAAGCACTGGAATAGGCTGCCTTGGGCCGTGGTTGAGTCACATGCAGATGTGGCACTTAAGGACATGGTTTAGTGGTGTACTTTAGTGGTGTTAGGTTAATGGTTGGACTCAATGATCTTAGAGGTCTTTCCCAACCTAAATGACTCTATGAGTCTGACCTCTGAGCAGACCACGTGAAGACAAAAAAGACTGTTTTGCTAACGTCATTTTGCCACGGCCAACGTACACAGAAGCTAAGGAAAACCTTGCTGAAGTTGGTGAAGAATGCCTCATACAGCTGAAGTATTTCACAGAAATGTTGGCAGAGAAACCATTCCTAAGGAATTCAGAGATACAAGACAAGCAGGAACTGTGCAAACTTCCACTCACACTATTTAAAAGTGTTCCTCGGTTCCCACTGCTGCTCCAGCAAGGGGTGTCTCTGCCAGTCTTTCTAAATGACAGTATTTTACATATGAACCTTGTAGATTAAAACCTCAGGATTTTTGCTTCCTGAAAATAATCTATCCTCATCATTCTTGTGCAGAAGCAACAACTACTGTAAACATTTATTAAGTTACCTGGATGTTGCCTGAGCATTTGCTGACACAGAGCCAAGATACAGATGAAATCACGGAAGTTTCTGGTATTACTGAGGCCGGAACCAGACTCTTCAATAAACGAGTATTCACTGTATCAGCTGGAACATAAACAATTTAAAATAAGATAGTGCTCATGTGGTCTCTTCTCCCAGGTAACTAGCGATAGGAAGAGAGAAAATGGCTTCATGTTGTGTCAGGGGGGGTTTAGATTGGATATTAGGA